TATTAACTCCTCCTTGCAGGAAAATTGTCACTGTAAAAAAAAAACAAACAAAAAAACCCCACCATACACTGTATCAAAAATAGAAAAAAAAATACTGGAGACATGCCAGGCTACATCTAGTCTCCTGAATATATGAGTTCCTCATCTATAATGACTTTTCAATGTGTTGTAAAAGGATCATGATGTTACTGTGCAAATGAACATTATCTTTAATCAAAAGACTACTCTTTTCAAGAAGGAGAGCTTTTTCTCCCTCATTTAACATGCAAGCCCACCCTCCCCAAAACTAAGACTCCTATTCTGAATAAAAATCCCCCAAACCTCTTTTATAAAAGCACTAAGCACATGGATAACACATGTATAAAACCTGATGATACTGCCAGTCTAAATCAAAAGGAAAGTCTTTTGGACTTCTAAAACCTTACTGCCTCTTGAGACAGAAAAACTTTTACCATTTCCTTGGTGATGTAGTGCATCTCATTTATCCCTTCAGAGATATAAGGCTTCAAAGAATATCTTCAATTTAATTAAAAATCCATGTCTCTAAGTAAAGACTCCAAGTCACTGGAACAGTCAAAGCTTTCATGAAAACAAATGCAATATTCATGTTATTTTAATCCTCTAATTTCTTTAAAAAAAGAAGGAGGTATGTCAAGGTTGCTCCATGAAGCCGAAGTGTTAACTCGGTATGTCTTAGTTCCTACTTTCACTGTAAGCTTCTCTTTACTCTGCTGCTTCCTATTTGGTAACAAAATGTTTTATATTAAACATCAGTTATTTACTAAACTGACCCCAAGTCCTCAGATTTTTCTCTGGCAATGTTAAATTAATAAAACAAGTCTTATACAGATGTAGCATATCCTTATCTTAGAAACTCAACACCTATCTGACCAAGGACAAACAATTTTTTACAACAAAGTTTTGTCAAGCATGAATATCTGACAAGTAGAAGCAATCTGCATAAAGCTTCCAGATTTGCATCCACTATGGCTTTCCCTCCTGGCCACTCTCTACAACAACAACAAAAGTCTAAAAAAATACCTGTATCATCCTTGCACAGTAAACATTAATATTTTCTTCTTCTAAACAAACTATTTAGAAGAT